AAATCCGCTTTAGATTGCCCTGATTGATTCTGCTCAAATAAATAACTTTTGCATTATAATGAACTAGTTTGCTACTTAAAATAAATTAATAGTTATTTTTTTGTATGGTAATATGATCTGCTTATGCTAAAAAATACATTCCTGCATCCATGATCACTTTTTGCCACCTGTATAATTGCTTATTGTGTGTAATGCTCTAAAAAATCATTATTGTTATAATATTTGTTTGGTATGCCACACACTTAGCATGACACCTTCCACTTTAATTGTGTTTGTTAGCATGTTCATTAAAATCTAGAGGCCAACATGGGATTTTACGTGCTAAGTGTTGTCCAATGTGTTTTGCTTGGTGTCTAGAGGGCCTATTTAGGAGCCTATATTTCATTTTAGTCTAAAACCTCCTCATTAGTAGTCCAATGCCTCTTGGACGTTAAGGTGTGGCGCTAGGCACATTTTAGGACGTAATGTATGCTTAAGGTGGCGTAGGGGTAGTTAGGCCTTTACGGACATGATGAAATTGACTCGAGCTTAAAACGACAAACATTAGTTTTGTCTTTCCCAATATTAAGCTGACAGAATAATAAGTCAAGCGCTGATCCGTAAATTGTGTTGATTTCCGAGTCTCCCTTTCCATTTTCCCTTTATTTGTTTTGTAATTATACTTGTTTGGGGTAGCTTAATAAAAATAAAATTGTTTCACCTATCTAATTGTGCAATTTTTGTCTCCTCTCTCCTCTCTTTATTAAATGTTTAATATTTGTTATTTGTTTATCTATATCACCTAGTAAACATGTTTAGATTAAATGACCAATAAATGAAGTGACCTTAATTGCTACTTGTAACCCCTATATAAATTGCATGAGATACGGTCGGGACCCACATCTGTGGACCTCGAGGGATGCTTAACACCTTCCCCTCGAGATAATTTGAACCGTTACCCGATCTCTGGTTTGTTCACCCATAGTTAGATCAATTAGGTTAGATAGGTGCCTAACGCGCCTTAATTCATTAAGTGGCGACTCTTCAATCAACACAAACCCAAAAGAGTTGTTGGGTCGTGCACTGAGAACTCATTTTTATGAAAGATCGGGGCGCGACAACCCTAAGATATAAACCCTAAATCCTACAAGTCTGTGAACCATAAAACTAAAAAAAACTAAAACACCCTAATCTCTAAACCCTAAACCCTAAAAAAACCTATGAAACACTTAACCCTTAAAAGCCCTAAAAAGACCCAAAAACCCCTAAACCTAAAAAACTCTAAGCTCTTAACCCTATAAAGCCCTAAATCGTATATCTTAAACCCTAAAAAAACACAAAAAAAGACCTAAGCGTGTAAAACTCCGGAAACTAATGAACTAAGCTAGAGCCTAATATGTAAACTAGTAGCCTAAGTGGGGTTTAACATAAATATTAGAGTCGTAAAATAACCTCCCTAAATTAGAACAAGTGTTTTTGGACTTGAACGTCAAGGCATGACCCCCCAAGGACCAACCAAGGGTACTTGAGGAGGAACTTGAAGGTAGACAAAAAGTTGTCAACAGGCAGCCACCCACGAAATTGGCACCCACGAGCCATGGGTCGACCCACGCCCCATAGGTGGTGGCCGTGGGTCAAGGCTGGACCTCCCCATGCTTTGCCAACCTCTCTGTCTGAGCTACAAACATGCAGTACGGTTCGTGGACTCACTCACGCCTCGTGGGTGAGGTCTCGTGAGTAAGGACTGAAGCTTGACCAAAAGGAGGAGCTGCATACCCAACACACGAGTGACCATCACGGTCCGTGGGTCCATCCATGCCCCGTGGATGGTGCCTGCCAAGCTGCCCAATCTTGGCCAAAGGTTGGACTTTTTAAGAAATTCATAAATTATTTATTTTTTTATGCGGACGGTTTATATTGTTTAGTTAGACTAATATAAGTACTTTTTAACTATTAACCACCCCTTTACACCTCATAACTCACAAGACTCAAATCATAACCAACTCCCCTCTCCAATATTTCTCTCTCTAAGACTCAATTGAAGAACAAGAACAAGGTCAAGTTTACGGTTCAAGGAGCAACCTTTCCTCTTCAATTTCGTGAAGAAATATTCCTAAGGTATGGTGTCTTTTCATCTATGGGTATCTTTCGCCAATAGAGTCCCTTCAAAACTTGGTTTGAAATCCCCCCCAAGAACCCATGAATCCCTCATATTGTTAAATTGTGAATTTATGATATGGGTTGGTTGATTATGGAAGCATGTTAATTGGTTATGTTTATATTGATTAAATTATGGAATCGTGATATTCCCGTATCTAATGTAGTAGTTCTAGAAGTTTGGGTTTAGTTTCATTCATAGCCTTGAAGGGAACATTATTAGGGTTTGTACTCCTTGATGAGAATTGTGTATGAGCTTATGATTCACTCGAGTAGTGAAGATCCTATGACTAATGTGTAATTGTGGTATTGTTGCAAGATCATTCTCCCCATACCCTTACACATGTCAATGCATGAAATGTCTGTGATTATGATAATGTTGTTGTGTTGATTGAAAGGTTATTCTCATGAAATACTATGAACATGATGTGAAAGGTTTACTCACATATTAATGATTCTAAGGTTGAAAGGTCATTCTCACATAATGAATCTATGAGTTATCATGATACTATGTTGGTTTGAATGTTAGGGCATACTTTCACTAATATGAAATTAAGTAAAGACTTAACATGAATATTAAAGGGAATTATGCTTAGCACCGAGTGGATATGAATATGAATGGAAGCTTTTACGTCAGTTAGTCCGGGTTCCCAAAATAGTTATCTCATGAGATGGAAATGTTTTACCTCAGTTAGTCCGGGTTTCTAGTAGCAATCTCCTTATCTTGTAACTATGTGCCCACATAGGTCTTTAGCTAGTGGATCTACCTAAAAGCTAAACATGTTAGTTCTACCTTAAGCAAGTAGGACACCTTTTTTCGGTGTGGGGCATGACATCAGATTCCATGTAGCTCGCATGGTCTATGTCGGTTAAAGCTATCTCCTTATATGACAAGAACATGAACCATGACATGACAAGAACAAGAACATGAACAAGAATAAGAATATGAATTATGAACAAAAACATGAGTATGTACTATGATTCCTCAAGAGGTTCTACTTAGTCTGAATGGGGGTATGGGACTTCATTCATGCATGGCACAAGTACGTCTACTTAGTGTGAATGGGGGTATGGGACTTCATTCATACATGGCACAAGTAGGCTTTGAGATTGATTGTGGTATGTTCTTTAATGACATGATACTCTATGAGTTAATGCATGTTTTACATGAACCATGAATATGAACCATGAACATGAACTATACTTATGACTTCTTAATGAGCTTTGCTTAGAGTCAGTGGGGGGTATGGGACTTCACTTATACATTGCACAAGTAGACTTATAAAGGAGTTATGGTGTTGTTTACTTATGACATGAAGATATATATATATATATATATGCATGATATGAATTTTTGCTAAGAGTTACTTTAGTTATTACAAGCTATGAACATGAATGTCTCCTTATCCATGAGTGTTGGCAATGGATGAGATCAAGGTATGTTATGCATGATTATGGTGGCCTATAACTTGTAATTAGCATAGATAGTAGTATGGGATCTTGTCTATGTATTGCACAAGTATAGCCTAGGGTTGCTTGTGAAATGGTTTGACTATGTATTTACACTAATATGAATCTTGGTTCTTAAAGTTGACAAAGTGCATGTTTTCAACTAAAATGTCCCTTTTTGCATGATTTAAGGATATTTATGCATGGCTTCCATACTTAGTATAATATTTGTGCTAACCCATATTTTCTACATTTTTTAAAAGTGTAGGTTCTGGTCATTGAGGTATACTTCTCCTTTTGAGTAGAACTTGGATTGACTATTCTCCACGCTCGGTGAGTCCTCATGGTTCGAGGACAAGGCTTATTCGTTTCTAATTTCTTTTAGACTTTCTCTTTTTGAGACTATGTTGCAAAGGGATGTGACCCTTATTGACTCTCAATTGTATTAGATGGTTTTTGAGATAAGGTCTAGACTTCTATTTTGGTTTTATGAAAAAGACTTCGATCGTAAAAAGTTTTAAATTCTGCATCATTTCAATTACTTATGTTTATGATTATGCTAAGGGCTTGTATGACACCCCTTCGGGATCAAGTACACCGTGTTACATCTAGGGGGTACCCCTGGGTTGTGACAAATTGGTAATCAGAGACAAGGTTTAGAATGATTATATGATGATGTCTCATGAACCATGTCTAGTAATGTCTTGTTCATGTGTGTGAAGCGCGCCATACTTATGAATGAGAGGCTATAAGATGTTTAGGAAATTTCACATCTTTCATTACTCTTTAGTCGTGCCTTAGAGTTTTAACTCTATGAAGTCCTTTTCCTAACCCTTCTCTTGAGTCTATAGGATATGAATACAAGAAGGGCGAACGCAAGAAGGATGGAAGAGGAGATTGTTAATGAGGGAGTTCCTCCCCAAGGTCCCCGAGGTCCTCAAGTTCATAATGATGAGGGGGTTATGACAAATGTGGAAATAAGGTCAGCTCTCCAAACATTGACTCAAGCCATGACAACTCAAGCCCAAGCTATAACGGCTCAAGCCAATAGGGATGTTGGGCCCCGTGTCAACCTTAATATGAACATCATGTCTTCAAGGTTGAGAGATTTCACAAAAATAAATCCTTTTATGTTCTTTGGTTCTAAAATGGGTGAAGACCTTCAAAAGTTTGTGAAAGAGGTCTACAAGATAATTGATGCTATGAGGGTGACTTCTATAGAGAAATCGGAGCTAGCCACTTATCAATTGAAGGATGTGTCCCAATTATGCTATACTCAATGGAAGGGTAATAGGCCGGTTGAAGCGGGTCCCATAAATTGGGAGGTGTTCAAGAAAGAATTCATTAATAGGTTTTTAGCCTGAGGGAAGAGGGAAGCAAAGGTTAAGGAATTCATCAACCTTCGTCAAGAAGGTATGAGTGCTCAAGAATATTCTCTAAAATTCACGAAGTTGTCCAAGTATGCTCCGTCTTTGGTGGCAAATCTGAGGGATGAGATGAGTCGATTTGTGACCGATGTGTCCAACTTGATTGAAGAAGAATGTCATGCGGTAATGCTACATGATAATATGGATATATCGCGTATAATGGTGTATGCTCAACAAATTGAGGAGACAAATCTTAGGAATACGAATATGGAAGTGAAGAGAGCAAGGACCGATGATGGAAATTCTTCTAATGGTAAGTTTGAGGGTCAAAGGCGATCAAGGTTCAAGAGAAGGCTCTCCAACCAAGGCTCCTCTAGTGATCCAAGGGTAAAAAGGATAGGGTGCCTAACCCTAAGCCTCAAGGAGGTAATAGTGGTGGATCTTCTATGTCAAGGCCTACTTGTGCCAAGTGTGGCAAGAAGCATGATGGTAAGTGCCTTGTTGGCATGGATGGGTATTTTAGTTGTGGGAAGAGTGGTCATATGATGAGAGATTGTCCCATGCTAAAGGTTCAGGGAAGAGAGGGCAAGCAAGCCCTTCCTAGTGGTTCAAACTTCGATGCTACCAAGAAAAACCATTTTTATGCTATTCAATCTCGAGGTGACCAAGAGAGTTCCCCGAATATGGTGATCGGCATGTTACAAGTTTTTTCTATTGATGTTTATGCATTGTTAGACCCCAGTGCCACTTTGTCCTTTGTTACACCTTTTGTGGCTATGAAATTTGAAATACTCCCTGAAGTGTTATTAGAGCCTTTTTTGGTGTCTACCCCGGTTGGTGACTCAGTAGTGGCAAAAAGAGTCTATAGGAGTAGTCCTATTTCTTTGTCTCATAAAATCGCCTTGGTTGATTTCATAGAATTAGACATGTTAGAATTTTATGTCATTTTGGTTATGGATTGGTTGCATGCATGTTTTGCCTCTATTGATTGTAGGACTCGGGTGGCTAAGTTCCAATTCCCAAATGAGCCTACTTTAGAATGGAAGGGGGGAAATTCTATCCCTAGAGGTCGAATTGTTTCTTGTCTCAAAGCTAGGAAAATGATCTCCAAAGGGTGCATTTACCATATTGTTAGGGTGATAGATGTGGAGTCTGAAACCCCTTCCCTAGAGTCGGTCCCCGTGGTGAATGACTTTCTGGAAGTTTTTCCCGATGACTTGCCCGACATTCCTCCCGAGCGGGAAATAGAATTTGGCATTGATCTCTTGCCGGATACGCAACCTATCTCCATTCCTCTTTATAAAATGGCTCCAGCCAAGTTGAAAGAGTTAAAGGACCAATTGAAGGAATTGCTAGACAAGGGTTTTATTCAACCAAGTATCTCTCCATTGGGTGCTCTGGTTTTGTTTGGAAGAAAGAAGGATGGGTCTCTTAGAATGTGTATTGACTACCGCTAATTGAACAAAGTGACCATAAAGAATAAGTATCCCCTTCCGAGAATTGATGATTTGTTTGATCAACTTCAAGGGGCTAGTTACTTTTCAAAGATTAACCTTCGTTCGGGCTACCACCAACTAAGGGTGAGCGGGGTTGATATACCAAAGATGGCTTTCTGAACTAGGTATGGACACTATGAATTCCTTGTGATGTCATTTGGCTTAACTAATTCCCCGGCGACATTCATGGACCTAATGAATAGGGTGTTTAAGCAATACATTGATACGTTTATGATCGTTTTTATCGATATATTTTGATCGATTCAAGAGATGAGGGTGAACATATGAATCATTTGAGGATTGTATTGCAAGTCCTTAAAGACCACCAATTGTATGCAAAGTTTAGTAAATGTGAGTTTTGGCTAAGGTCCGTAGCCTTCCTCGGCCATATCGTGTTTAGTAAGGGTATTGAGGTAGATCCTAAGAAGACGGATGCGGTCAAGAGTTGTCCTAGACCTCTAACTCCTACCGATATTAGAAGTTTTTTGGGTTTGGCCGGTTACTATAGGAGGTTTGTTGAGGGTTTTTCCTCCATTGCTTCTCCGTTGACGACTTTGAATAAAAAAAAAGATAAGTTTGTGTCATCGGAGGCTTGTGAGAAAAGCTTCCAAGAATTGAAAGATAAACTTAATTCTGCTCCGGTGTTGACCTTATTGGAGGGTACCGATGGGTTTGTGGTATATTATGACGCTTCTCAAGTTGGTTTGGGATGTGTCCTTATGCAATATGGTAATGTGATTGCCTATGCTTCAAGGCAACTCAAGGTCCATGAAAAGAATTATCCAGCCCATGATCTTGAATTAGCAGTGGTGGTTTTTACCTTGAAAATATGGAGGCACTATCTATATGGGGTTCATGTAGATGTTTTCACCGATCACAAGAGTCTTCAATATGTGTTTACCCAAAAAGAGTTGAATCTCCATCAAAGAAGGTGGTTAGAACTTTTAAAATAATATGACATAAGTGTCTTTTACACCCCGGAAAGGCTAATGTAGTTGCGGATGCCCTAAGTCGATTATGCATGGATAGTGTAGCCCATGTAGAGGATGAGAAGAAGGAGTTAGTTTGTGATGTACATAGGTTAGCCTGGTTAGGTGTCCAACTAGTGGATTCCACAAAGGATGGAATGATGGTCCATAATGGTTTCGAATCATCCTTTGTCGACGTGAAGTCCAAACAAGACCTCGATCCCATGTTAATGGAGTTGGAAGAATTGGTACTCAACAAGTTTGTTGAGGCTTTCTCCCAAGGGGGAGATGGTGTGCTTAGGTACCAAGGTTGTTTATGTGTTCCAAATGTTGATGACTTGAGAGAGAAAATTTTAGAAGAGGCTCATGGTTCGCGATATTCTATTTATCTGGGAGCCACCAAGATGTACTGTGATTTACGGGAAGTCTATTGGTGGAATGGCATGAAGAAGGATATAACGGGTTTTGTGGCCAAAATGTCCGAATTGTCAACAAGTTAAGGCCGAACACCTAAGACCGGGAGGTTTTTCCCAATATATAGATATTCCCACTTGGAAGTGGGAGGAGGTGAATATGGACTTTGTTGTGGGTTTGTCTCGTACTCGAAGGCAACATGATTCTATTTGGGTCATTGTGGATAGAATGACAAAATCAGCCCACTTTATTCCCGTTAAGGTTTCTTATTCGGCGAAAGACTATGCCAAATTATACATCAAGGAAATAGTGAAGTTGCATGGGGTTCCTTTGTCTATTATTTTAGATCGAGGTACTCAATTTACTTCACACTTTTGGAAGGCTTTCCAAAAAGGGATTGGTACCAATGTTAAGCTTAGTACCGCTTTCCACCCTCAAATGGATGGTCAAGTGGAGCGCACCATTCAAACCTTAGAGGACATGTTGAGGGCATGTATTATAGATTTCAAGGGTAATTGGTATGACCATCTACCATTGATAGAGTTTTCCTACAATAATAGTTACCACTCAAGTATTGTCATGGCTCCTTTTGAAGCATTGCATGGTAGGAGGTGTAGATCTCATGTTGGTTGGTTTAAAGTAGGTGAACTTACTCTAAATGGTCCCGAACTAGTTTATGAGGCCATTGAAAAAGTTTGATTCATTAGAGAGAGGTTGAAAACGGCCCAAAGTCGACAAAAGTCATATGCCGATGTTAGAAGGAGGGATCTAGAATTTGAAATTGGTGATTGGGTCTACTTGAAAACATCACCTATGAAAGGTGTGATGGGGTTTGGTAAAAAGGGGAAGCTTAGTCCCCGATATGTGGGCCCATGCCAAATCTTGAAACGTGCTGGGAAAGTTGCATATGAGTTAGACTTACCAAATGAGTTGGCTCCGGTTCACTCGGTGTTTCATGTTTCCATGCTTAAGAAGTGCATTGGGGATCCGGTATCCACCATTCCTTTAGAGGGTTTAGGTGTTGATGAGAGTCTATCCTATGAGGAAGTTCCGGTGGAAATTTTGGACCGGCAAGTGAAAAAGTTGAGAAACAAGGAAGTAGCTTCCGTTAAGGCATTATGGAGGAATCATTTAGTTGAGGGTGCTACATGGGAGGCCGAGGCCGATATAAATTCCCATTGTCCTCATCTTTTTCCTTATACTCCTATTCATGCTTGAGGTAAGTAGTTCCTCTTGGGTTTTAGTGTTTTGGGAGTCATGTGTTTGGTATGAGTTCTCCATGATTTCCTTATGTCATGCATGTTCTTGATGAAATTCATGTTTAGTAAGAAACTGAGTTTTATGATTTATGTGTCCCTCATGTTGATTGTGCATTTTAGTATGATGATGGCATATTGGAATTCATGAGGTGATTTGATGAACATGTTTTGTTATGCTTGTGGTGAAATAGCATATTGGCTCCATGATGTTGTGTTGAGTTTGCTTTTAGTTGGAGAAGGTAGTTCCTCCTATGAACATAAGAAATGTTGCATTTCATGCATATTAGGTTGGTAGATATAGTTCCTACTTCCTTGCATTGCATTGACCATGTCTTGAGATGGAGTTGAGGTTTCCTCCCTTTTTATAGTGCATGAAGTAAATAGTGCATTTGTAAGTTTTGCATATTTTTGATGTTTCATGCATGATGGGCTTCTAGTCTTGAGTTTCTAAATTAGTTTGGTGTCTAAGTCATCATTCGAAGACGAATGTTCCCAAAGGGGAGATAATGTAACACTCCGGAAAACTAATGAACTAAGCTAGAGCCTAATATGTAAACTAGTAGCCTAAGTGGGGTTTAACATAAAGATTAGAGTCGTAAAATAACCTCTCTAAATTGGTACAAGTGTTTTTGGACTTAAACGTCTAGGCATGACCCCCCAAGGACCAACCAAGCATCCTTGAGGAGGACCTTGAAGGCAGCCAAAAAGCTGTCAAGAGGCAGCCACCCACGAGCCGTGGGTGGACCCACGCCCCATAGGTGAAGGTCGTGGGTCAAGGCTGGACCTCCCCTAGCCTTGCCAAACTCTCTATCTAAGCTACGAACATGCAGTACGGCTCGTGGACTCACTCACGCCTCGTGGGTGAGGTCTCGTGAGTGAGGACTGAAGCTTGGCCAAAATGAGGAGCTTCAGACCTAACCCATGAGTGACCAGCACAGTCCTTGGGTCCATCCACACCCCGTGGGTGGGGGTTGTGGATGGGAGGCTCCCAAGCTACCCAATCTCGGCCAAAGGTGGGACTTTTTAAGAAATTCCTAAATTAATTATTTTATTATGGGCATATTTTATATTGTTTATTTAGACTAATATAGGTACTTTTTTACTATTAACCACCCCTTTACACCTCATAACTCACAAGACTCAAATCATAACCAACTCCCCTCTACAATATTTCTCTCTCTAAGACTCCATTGAAGAAAAAGAACAAGGTCAAGTTTAGGGTTCAAGAATCTATGGGTAGCTTTCACCCATAGAGTCCCTTCAAAACTTGGTTTCAAAGCTTCCAATTCCCCCCAAAACCTAGGGTTTCATTCTAAGTTGTGTGTTCTCTTTCTTAACGTTTTCAATGATTGATTTATGATGAATTATGATTGAATTGATGTTTAATGGTTGATTTATGATTAAATCCCCCCTAGAACCCATGAATCCCCTATATTGTTAAATTGTGAATTTATGATGTGGGTAGGTTGATTATGGAAGCATGTCAATTGATTATGTTTATATTGATTAAGTTGATTATTAAGTTATGGAATCATGATATTCCCCTATCTAATGTAGTAATTCTAGAAGTTTGGGTTGAGGTTTATTCATAGCCTTGAAGGGTAAATTATTAGGGTTTGTACCCCTTGATGAGAACATGAGTATGTACTGTGATTCCTTAAGACGTTCTACTTAGTGTGAATGGGGGTATGGGACTTCATTCATGCAAGGATCAAGTAGGCTTTGAGACTTATTGTGGTATGTTCTTTTATGTCATGATGCTTTATGAGTTAATGCATTCTTTACATGAACCATGAATATGAACCATGAACATGAACATGATCATGAACTATACTTATGACTTCTTAATGAGCTTTGCTTAGTGTGAGTGGGGGTATGAGACTTCACTTATACATTGCACAAGTTGACTTATAAAGGGGTTATGGTGTGGTTTACTTATGCCATGAAGATATATATGATATGAATTGTTGCTAAGAGTGACTTTACTTATTAGAAGCTATGAACATGAATGTCTCCTTGTCCATGAGTGTTGGCTATTGATGAGATCAAGGTATGTTATGCATGATTATGGTGGCCTATAAGTTGTACTTAGCATAGATAGGAGTATGGTATCATGTCTATGCATTGCACAAGTATAGCCTAGGGTTGCTTGTGAAATGGTTTGACTATGTATTTACACTAATATGCATATTGGTTCTTAAAGTTGATAAAATGCATGTTTTAAACTAAAATGTCCCTTTTTGCATGATTTAAGGATTTTTCTGCATGGCTTCTATACTTAGTACAATATTTGTGCTTAACCCATATTTTCTACGTTTTCTATAAGTGTAGGTTCTGGTCGTTGAGGTATACTTCTCCTTTCGAGTAGAGTTGGATTGACTATTCTTCATGCTTGGTGAGTCCTCATGATGCGAGGACAAGGCTTGTTCGTTTCTAGTTTCTTTTGAACTTTCTCTTTTTGAGACTATGTTGTAAAGGGATGTGACCCTTATTGAATCTCGATTGTATTAGATGGTTTTTGAGACAAGGTCTAGACTTCTATATTGGTTTTATGAAAAAGACTTTGATTGTAAAAAGTTTTAAATTCCGCATCATTTCTATTACTTATGTTTATTATTATGCCAAGGGCTTGTATGAGATCCCTTCGGGGTCAAGTAGTCGTGTTACATCTAGGGGGTACCCCTGGGTTGTGACAAAGCCCTAAACCCTAAACCTATAAAATGCTAAAAACTTTAACCTAAAAAACCCAAAGCCCTAAATCCTAAAAACTTATATAAAACCCATAACCTAAAACCCTAAACCTTAAAAAACCCTAAACCTAAATTCTAAATCCTAAATCCTAAATCCTAAACCCAAAAAAACCCTAAACCTTAAACCTTAAGAAACCCTAAATTCTATGAACCCTAAAAACAATTTAAAACCCCTACAAAACACTAAGCTCTAAACCCTAAATCCAAAAAAATTGTATACCCTAAACCTAAAATACACAAAAAAAACCTAAGCCCTAAACCTTAAACCTTTAAAAACCCTATAAAACACAAAATTGTTTAGGGGAACAAAGTGAAAGAAGAACAAATGGGGATTTCAAAAGAGTGTGCCGTGAAGAAAGGGGAAGGTGGGGTGGGCTGGGGTGGGAGGTAAGTTGGAGTGGGTGTAAACTATATGGAGTAGTCGCTCTGTCTCAATTTATGTGACACATATTAGTTTTTGAGAGTCAATTAAGTTTGATCGAAAATTTGCTTATGAAGTTTTAAATTTTTTTAAATGAAATTTATATATTTGTAAACTACTTTAAAAAATAATATAAGTCACAATAATTGATAATTCAAAATATTTAAAAGATATATGCAAAATTTATCATCAAAGATAAATCAATTTGGATTTCAAAATCTATAATGTGTCATATAAATTGGTACAGAAAAAATAATTTTTATTTTTATTTTTATTGAAGATTATTTTTTTCTTTTTTTGTTCTTAAAAAAAAGATTATTTTATATTTAAATTTCACATGACCTTTTTTATTAGTTATCATGTCATGTACTCATGTTAAATGCGAATGTATCACATACACTTCATAATGTTAGCTAATTATTAGAATATCATAACAGGGTCTGCTGCAAATATTTAAAATATACAAAACTTAATTAGACATCTAAATGAAAAATAATGTCAAACTTTAATTAATAACACGATTAGTAAAACTTTAGAATAACCAGGACCTTAATATTTTTTAATTGTTTGCTATTTAATTGAATTTGAGTTAGCTTCTTCTTTTTGTTGACTTTGGTTTCTGGTATCGTTCAGTTTTTTTTTTTTTTTTGGTTGGGGTGATGGCCTCATGGATTTTCTCAATGGTGTGATCATTTGGTTTATTTATGAGAAGATTTTTTATTAAAAAAAACATAAAAAGTACTATTAGATTTAAAAAAAAACAAAATAATATTTATACACGGGATGGTGTATGTATATCACCTAACCAACTGAATTTGGTTATGGTTGAACATCATCATGTAAAGTGCGAAGAAATATAATTTATGAGGTACTTATGTTTTTTTTCTATTTTAAATTTAAATATTAATATGTAATTTTTAAATATGTAAATTATTGAACGATTAGGAAAATAGTAAAAATAAATTTTAGGTTTAGCAAATATAAAAATCATATTTGTATGTTATACCTATAGTTTGTATATACAATTATATATAATTGTGCTCCATAGCAAACTTTATGTTTGTTATGACTATTAATATGTATATTTCGGTATACATATACAAAAGAATCAATTGTATAATCTGTGTTTGTATAAAGCGAGAAAGACAAAAGAAAATTGGGTGGGGAAGATCTGTATTTGCATAATTATAAGTGTATAGGACGAAAATATTTGTATTTGTATATATAATTTTCTCTCGCTTTTATACAAACACAAAAGCAAATTATACATTTGTGTTTTGTATAAAAGTGAGAGAGGCGAGTGAAAGTGGCGAGCGAGATTCTCTGGGGGAGAGAGGCGAACGAAAAGATATGTATATATATACAGTTTTCTCTCACTTTTATACAAACACAAACGCATTTTATACATTTGGATTTGTATAAAAGTGAGAGAGGCGAGGGAGAGACTCTAGCGAGAAAACGAGAGTGGCGAGCGAGAATTTCAGGGAGAGAGGCGAATGACAACAGTTTGCTACGGGTTACAATTAAATCAAACTGTGGTTATAGCATTTAATTTGAATTAATAGTTTGTTATTTTATACAATTTTCCCTATTTTGAAAGTTTGAAGCCCATATGACACTGTTTCTAAACAATATTTTATTAATAAAAGTATATCTTTTTATAATTCAACAAGTTTATCTAATACAAAATAAAAGCATAAACAACAACAAAAAAAAAACGATAAGAAAACTTGAAATATTAGGACAAAGGTTTTTTGTTGGTATATCTCCACTATCAAATGAAAGAACTTGAAAATATAAAAATAAAAGACTCATTAATTAATATAATAAATTGTGACAATATGCAATTGACAGCAGATTAATGGCTCTAAGCCTCCAACAACACAATACAGATTAACTATAGAGAGTCAAAATGTCTGTTACTCATCCAAAATGTTATGTTAGGAATTGTACAAGAATAATGGTGAATCAAGGCCAATACACCAAAGACTCATAAATATAACAATTCTAGACAAAAAAAAAATTTAATATCAAAATCATTTTTCCAACAATACCTTCACATAAATTGAAATAGAGTATGACTAATTTATGTCATTGTTGTCCAGTTAAAACTATATATTTTTTAGACTAATTATCATTGATTGTAGATGACAAGAAGGATGTAATGTACCTCACAAATCTCCCAGGTACACAAGAAAAGTTGAATATTTTTAATGCTGATCTACAAAAGCCACAAAGTTTCAATGCAGCAATTGAAGGCTGCATTGGTGTATTTCATGTTGCACATCCAATTGATTTTGAGAACAAAGAAACTGAAGAAACAATAACGCAAAAATCAATTGATGGGGCAATAGGTATTTTACAGGCATGTCTCGATTCAAAAACAGTTAAACGCGTTGTATACACTTCTAGTGCAGTTATGGTTGTGGGTACTGGAAGTTCCAACATAATCGATGAATGCTCGTGGACAGATATAGATGTTATGAGCACATTGAAGCCTTTTGCAAGTTCTTACGCGATTAGTAAGACATTAACAGAAAAAGCAGCTCTAGAATTTGCTGAAAAAAATGGTATCGATCTTGTGATTGTAATCCCAACTTGGATACATGGTACCTTTATTACTCCTCAAATTCCTGGTTATGTTCGTTCATCCATGGATATGATTCTTGGTATGTCTTAAAATATCATAGATTTTCATTTTCTCAACATATATATGTTCTACTTAATCATAATTGGAAAAATTTGTGCAGGTCATCAAAATTTTAGTATGAGTTACCCTCCAATTATACCTTTTGAACATGTAGATGATGTGACAAATGCTCATATTTTCCTTTTTGAAAATCCTAATGCAAAAGGGAGGTATATTTGCTCAGCTGTTGAAATAACAGAGGAAAAGCTAGTTGAGTTTCTTTTGACAAGATATCCTGAATTTCAAAAACAAATTGCCACGTAAGTACAAAATCTTGTCTTAACTTTAATTGGTTGATTGTTTTTATTTGTTTTCCTATTCAAACAAGGAGAGGAAAGAAGAAAAGTGAAATATTAATCAATTACTCTGTCTGTCAAAATATTTATGTGACACATTTCGTTTTTTGAGAGTCAAATAGTTTAACATATGAACCATGATAGCTATTCTAAATTACAAGTTTCTTAATTTTGAGTAGCCTAATAGAACATGAGATATTGCTTTTATAAGCAACGCAATGCATATATCAGTTTCTTATATTGGTTTTTGGCGTTTGGGAAATCATGTTCTATCTCGGTGTATTTTAGTGAAGCTTGCTTATGTGCATTTTGTCAGCACCATGTCTTTACGATGGAACCCAATATCGTCAGTCAAGTTGACTATGCCATGTTTGTTGGTTATCTACTTATACAGACTCTTTGGGGTCTGTTACTTTAAAGGATTTTGGTGATATCAGACCGACCCAGCTACGAGATACCTCTAATTTTCAGAGGCAAACACGTCATCTTAGCAAACCTTGATGGAGTGTGGGAACAAAGCTTGGGAGAAACTTTGACAACCACACTTGTGGAAATAATAGCCAAAAATGTGAAAGTTGACAACCACAAATGTGAAAGTTGGCAGCCGCAGTTGTGGAAGTTGGTAATCAAATTTTGGTAGAGTTTTGGTGGAGTTTGGCAGCCAAACTTTGTGGAAATTGGCTGCCACATTTGTGTTACTCATGATGTAATCAAGAGGTTCAAAACTCTATAAATAGAGTAGTAATTGAACATTTGAAGATACACCAAAATAGAGAAAGCAATAGAGAGTAATCCACAAGTTATTTCTGAGTTTATGAGAAAATAATGTGAAAGTAATATTATTGTGAGTTGTAAGAAATAAAAGAGTGTTGTTCTTATAAAAGTGCAGTAGTCTTTTGACACTATCAAGTTTTCATCAATATTATTGTATTACGTACTCGGGTATCATAATTACCCCATTTTAATATTTGGTATCGTTGTTACTCTCTTGCTATTGCTATTTAGTGCGGACATTATCCTGGGTGTGATTATCATTTTATCCAACAATGTGATATCGATCCATGGCAAATAATAGTTTGTTGTCCTTTCAGTATCCCTGTCTCAGAAGAGAAAATTTTGAAAAATGGTGTCTACAAATGAGAGACATTCTTGACTCTCAAGATGTTTGAGATATTGTACACAAAGGGTATACAAAACCCGTTAATTGAAAAACTTTGTCCTCAAATGAAAAGGAGGTCTTGCAAAAGAAAAGAAATAAAGATCAACAAACCCTCACTCTCATCCATTAATGTTTGGATGATGACATATTTGAGAAGGTGGTTGATGCAACCACCTCAAAAGAAGCTTGAGAGATTTTATAAAATTCTCTCCAAGGAGTTGATAAAGTAGAGAAGATAAAACTTCAAACTCTAAGGGCAAACTTTGAAGTTTTAAAAATGAAAGAATCTAATCCATTTCGAATTTCTGTTCAAGATTGATAGCGGTTGTGAATCAACTAAGAAGATACGACGAGGAAGTAGATTATGTGTGTGTGGTAGAAAATATCATTCGTTCTCTAACACCTAAATTTGATTATATGGTGTGAGTTATTGAGAGTATAGTGATTTAGACTCTATGACAGTATAATAATTGGAAGGTTCTCTACAAGCTCACGAAGAAAAGATGAAAAAGAGAAAAGAAGTGACACTAGAGAAACTTCTTAAAACTCAGGTGTCCTTCAAAGGATTTAAAAGTGAGAAAGGTTACATAGGAAATGGAAAATGGTGAGGCCATGTCGGTCGTGGAGGTCTTGGAAGAGTAAGAAGTTATTTCAACATATTTAACAATTAAGATAAAAATCACTAGTCATTCAAAGGTCATGGCCATGGTCAACGAGAAGGAAGAGGACATGGAGCTTATCAAGGTACCAATGAAATGAGGTATGAAAACTCTAAAATTGAGTGTTATAACTGTCATAAAATTGGACATTACACTTGAAAATATCGTATGAATGTTGAAGAAAAAGTTAATCTTATTGATAACAACAAAGATGAAGATGAGTCAACATTGTTATTGACACTCAATGAAGAAGATACAGATGATTACAATTCATGGTATATAGACAATGGAGCAAACAATCATACGTGTGGACACAAAGTCAAATTTAAGGAGATAAAGAAGACGGGATGGTTGATTAACGGGATTCCATCAACCGTGTTCTTGTCTCCCATTGATTTGAGTGCTTCAAAGTTCAAGTGTCCAAATTGCATATGCCAAAACTATGAGTCATCTTGGACACTAGCCTTCAAACACTTTGCATCGATGGTCTTAAGATTCAAAGGGAACAACCTATTCTTTTCCATATGCACATAAGTAATTAAGTTATTACTTGAATCTCTAAGCCAAATATGTATATTTTTCATATGAATATCATATCCTTTTTCAAAAAGTTGATCCAAACTCAAAAATATTACTTTTCAATTTTGACAAATATTAAGCATTGTTAATCAATATATGACCATCATCTTCACAGGATATCAGAATCATACATATTCCTTCAATTTGAATCTTTGAGGTATCTCCAAAAGACACATTACTTTTCATCGTCTTCTTTATCTCCACAAACTTGTCTTTGTGTCCACACATATGATTGATTGCTCCATTGTCAAGATACCATGAGCTGCAATCATCTTTATCTTCTTCATTGAGTTCCAATAACAATGCTGACTCATCTTCGTTTTTGTTCTTGTCAACAAGATTAGATTTCTCTTCAACATTACTACGGCATTCTCAAGAGTAATGTCCAATTTTATGATAGTTATAGCACTTACTTTTAAATTTTTCAAACCTCATTTCATTGGTACCTTGATAGGCTCCACGTCCTTTACCTCCTCGTTGACCATGGCCACGACCTCTGAGTGAAGTGGTGATTTTTTATGCTTATCATGACCAACGACACTAAACTACTGTATGAGTGTCTACAATCATCGAAAGTATAGTAACCCAACTAAAGGTTGGGGTCGTGTCCCAAGGGAGTGATTTTGAGAATTGATAGAAATATAAATTAAGCTCTAACTAGTCGTAGCTAAAGACATTAACGAATAAAAACATGGTAAATTAAAGGGGGTGACACGAAAGTGTCAAATATCAATTGGGGATTTTGTCACAATTAGTAAAAATAGCAAAAAATAACAAGAAAATCAAGTATGGGGAAATGTTCTTGGAGTGTGACCACAATACAAGTTGAGATAAGTAGTTGGGTACATACTTTTGAAAAGAAATTTGTAAGATAATAGTGACTAGGCTAAGCTTTAAATGGAAATAAGTTCCCTCTCGGGCAACCTACCCCGTTTCAAATGCGTTCCTCTCGGACACCCATTTGCCGTATGAAGACCAGCCTACGTCTTACCCCACTCAATCTCTCGAGCTAAGTGTTAGGATATGGGACTAGGTCTCACCCTCTCGGGCTGAACTTCATGTCGACCCACTCCTTAGGCTATCAGTCTAGTGGTCTTGGTTTCGCAACCTCCCTCTCGAGCAAGCCGAAAACACATGGGTGGCTTTGTATTTGCAACTACAAACCCTTTAGATTAAACCAGAACCACTAGGTGAAATCACCATTAAACTACATCTAACCTATCAGCAAGCAAGACCCAACAATAATATCAACACATATTTGCTAAATCACACCCCAAGAATGGGGGTTTTTAGCCACACATCAAGAAATAACAAAATACACCTAAAATGATAGTAAAATCAAATGGGTATAAGAAATTAAACCTTGACTTAAGCAAAGGAAGAAGAATGGAGAAGACCCACTCCAACTTGGGGAAGATGAAATCCTTCTTTCTTCAAGTCTCCCAAAAACCCTCTCCAAAATTGAGAGAAAAATATCCAAAAAATACTATTCTATTCTGGGAAGTAAAATAAATGTTCGACTTCTTAAAATTAATAACAAGTTCAGTATTTATAGACTTCAGAAAATAGAGCTGGCGGATCTTTCGGCGAAGTTAGTCGATATCGCCGAATGACTTCAGTGACTCACCCTTTGTCTGTCTCATCGCCATTTCGTGCTTGCCTTCCTCATCTTCATGTTCTGGACCATTGTGCGGTATAGTACTGCTTCACGAAACTATTCGGCAAAGCGCCGACTACTCCTTTCATCGCCTTTTGTATCCTTCTCCTTCAGGGCTTCGCGTACTGGAACAAAGGGCGGAGTAAATCCCTTCGGTGAATCGCCAAGTGTCCTTGGCGATGCTCGGGCTTCAGCTTCTTTGTTCTTTTCAGCCCTTTTGTTCCTTTTTGCGTCTAAGTGTCCATGCTTTCACTAAAACTTCAAATACCTGAAACTTAAGAGTTTTCATCAGATATTTAGACAAGATAAGAATTCGAGGACACTATTCTTATTAAAATAAAGCCCTAAATGAGTCCAATTTGTGAACTCATCAACATCCCCAACCTAAACTTTTGATTGTCCTCATGCAAACTCAAGTTCAGCCATTCAAAAAGGGTGCCTCAAACAGTGCTACACATGACTCAATCATGAACATACACAACAAGATTCAAATTACTTATGCAAAGATCAACTGTGTACTCAAAGATTCAAGTTGTGACACACCATTACCAGAGATTCTCATGCTCACAATACTTGCTACTTGTGCAAGTTCAAGCTCGACAAAAAGTATCTAAATGCCCTCACATGAAGAATGATCCATAATCACACACAAAGGTTAATCAACTCAAGATCAGGAATCAGATGCAACGCTCACACTCAAAAAGAGGAATACAATGCATGCTTTCACCCTTAGGTTTGCCCTTATTTTCCAATCGACTTTTGATTCGGCTTACTCAAGATCAAAAAGGTCTTTCTAAGGCTTGTAATGGGGCTGAGTGTAAAGGTATGGTCATTTAGGCTCAGTGACTTTTTCATCTTCGTGAGATGTGGTATTCTCAAGGCATTCCCTTCTTCTCCTCTATCAATTCTTTTTT